GGTGCACTTACCACAAAACAACAAACTAAGTCCAGAGATTAAAACAAACTTTTTTCTCTATTAACTTCCTCAATTCTCCTATCATAAGAATGGGATAATGACTAATATGGTATCCAACCCTTTTTATTAGTAGTAGGAAGTGTTACAGGTTATTTTATTATTTTTTTTTTTTTAGAAACTTCAGTCATTTGCAGTTAGAACCATTCTGATCTCAGATAAATTCAAAATTAAGGTCAGACTGAAAACAGGTTATTTTTTTGTTTTTGTTTTTGTTTTAAATAGCAGCCTGAGCTCAGTGGTTAAGAGCATTTGCTGCTCTTCCAGAGGACATGGGTTTGATTCCCAGCACCTACATGGTGGCTCACAACCATCTGCAACTCCCATTTCCAGGGGATCTGACACCATCTTCTGACCTCAGCCAGCACCAGGCAGACATACGGTACACACACATGCATACAGGCAAAACACCCATACACATACACATAAAATTTAATTTAAAACAAAATAGCAGCATAAAGACATGAAATCATGCAGTACACTTCACTGCAGACCTCCCAGGACTGCTCACCTGGGAGATGCATCACCTTAGCAACTGCACCTGAGACACCACATGGTGTGGACGTCTAGCTGTGTCTTCTTGCTTGTGTAATCTGACCTTTACCACTTGACCTTGATCACTTGACCTCTCCATGTCTATCCCCTCCAAATACAAAAGGCTTATTATAGCACTTCAACACATAGTAAGAACTCTCTCTGCTATTCTTTTTTTTAATATTTTTATTTATGTGTCTGTGTTTGTCACCTCTGTATGGGTGCCCTCAGAGGCCAGAAGAGGACACCAGATTCCTGAGAGCTGGAGTTATAGGCAGATGTGAGCTGCCAAACATGGGTGCTGGGAATTGAACCCAGGTCCTCTGGAAGAACAGCAAGAACTCTTAACCACTGGGCCATCTCTCCAGCCTCTCTGCTATTCTCTTTAGCTTGGATGAATCATCCTTTTCTCAGCAACCCTTTCTTCACATACAGCTGACCAATTTTATAATTCACCTATGATAATCAGATGATCTGAAATCACTATCAACTATAAAACAACACTCTCATAATTGTGCTTATCCTAACATGATTTACGTCTCACCATAAAGTATTTTCTTTTTTTTTTTTTTTGTTTTATTTTTTTTGTTTTTCGAGACAAGGTTTCTGTGTGTAGCTTTGCACCTTTCCTGGATCTCGCTCTGTAGACCAGGCTGGCCTCGAACTCACAAAGATCTGCCTGCCTCTGCCTCACAAGTGCTGGGATTAAAGGCGTGCGCCACCACTGCCTGGCGTATTTTCTTAAGACCCAGAATGATAGTTTAACTACCATGTCTGGAAAGTTCTCACAGTAGTGCTAGTGTTTTGAACGCTTGTTCTCTGGTTGATGATGCTGTTTGTGGTAGGTGTTGGTGGGGGACTGATGAGTAGGAAAACTCTGAGGGTGGGGTCTGGCTGGCAAAAGTAGACGTAGAACTAGTCCTCTGAAGCTTACAGCCCAGCCCTGATTTAGGTTGAGCTCTCTGCGTCCTGGTCAGCCACAATGTGAACAACCAGTTACTGCCTCGTGCTTACGCCACAACGCCTTTTCTGCCATGATGGACTGAAACCACGACTCAGAATAAACCTTCCCTTCCTTACACTGCTTCTGTCACATATTTTTCATAACAATGAGCAAAATATTGCAATGCCTAACCTTATGAGATTTTATCCTGAGGCAATGGAGATGTGAGCAGAGGATAAGGAATACAAAATTCAAAACCATGAAACATTCAAATAAAATCACAAATTCAGGCAGCAAAATCAAGTTATCCACTTCTCAGAGATGCTTGTCTCTTCAGAAAGAAAGTCTCCTGCCTCTCTGGTTTATGTAACTTTTCCCGCCTGGTTCATCCTTTTGCCTCTGTAGCAGGCATGTTGCTTCACCTATTTCAAGAACATTCTGAATTGGCATAGCCCCTCCCCTAAATGACAATCTCATACCTACCTCAGTTTATGTCAGCAATGTTAGCAGAAGTACAAAGAAAGGAAACTTCCACATACTCAGTAATATTTGCTGAGCACATCAGCATGCCAGGCCCTGGACTAGAAAGCTAGAACTCAAAACAAGCATAGCAATTCACATCCCTCAAGCTTTCAGTCTAGTGTGGAGGTGGACCCAACTGGCAACCACGAAATGAGTGGGTAATTACAAAGTGCTGAGTACTAAAATTGAATTGTATATTGTTAGAAAGCCTTAGAAAAACACAGTCTAACTGGGAGTAGGAAGCGGGGCTCTTCAGGGCAAGCTGCTCTACAGAAGAGTGTCTTTGTGGCTCTCCTTTTGACATCCTCTAAGTTGCCCAAGCTCCTGCTGGGCTATAGGTGCACCCATAGACTATAGCAAATATTGCTGAGTATGTGCAAATTTCCTTTCTTTGTACTTCTGCTAACATTGCTGACATAAACTGAGGTAGGTATGAGACTGTCATTTAGGGGAGGTGACTACAGAAACAGAAATGGGGTGTTTCTCAGAACCTTTTAGAATGTGCAATCATGGTCATACGATTTTGAATAAAACTATAAAGGTTAGCACCGTGCCCTACAGTCAGTCAGCAATCAAATGATGGTTATTATTGGAGCATCTGAAATCAACCCCCCTATCCTCGGACAGGCCCTTGAGCAGTCCCAGGAATGTACAGCCATTATTTTCCACTTAGCCACCCACAAGAGGAGTCCACTAAGTTAGCTATCAACTTGATACTCAGGTAAATTGCAGGCTGTGCCAAATGGATCCATAAAATTCTATGTTTAATGTGCTGCTTAAGTGATCCTTTTAAAGATGGTTTCTCCATGATATAAGGGGATTCAATGTGATGGGTCATAAATAAATTCATTTTGATGGTGATACAACTTGTGTCAAATGAGAATCAGAGAAACTTCAGGAAATTTACTATTTCAATTTACCTTCCATGTCACTCAGTTTTCCACATCTATTCTTACACCGTATTGTGTAAGACTACTTCTGGAACTTTTTCCTTCGGCAAGGTTGGAGGTTAAATCCAGAGCCCTGTACATACTAGGCAAGTACTCTACCAGTGAGCTTTATCCCCAGCCCTTGGTTTTTGAATAGTGTCACTGTGTAGCTCAAGATGCTCTTCCTGCCTCTACCTCCCAAGTACTGAGATTACAGGCTTGTACCACAATGCCTAGCTCCAATGCCTTCTGAGATTCAAAAAAGACTGAACATAAAATGGTCTAAGCTTGAAGGGATACATGTGGCATATATATACATATATATTACATATATATAAAATAAATATGGACCTTTTAAGTGGGTTTATGAGTCAGAAGTCTGGTAAAAGGAGAAAGTTCTTGTTTTCATTGTTTCTGGGGCATTTTCAAAGGTCCAGAGATCTTTCATCTTGTTTTAAATGCACTTTCAAAGCAACTCTTATATGGCTTCTTAATTGCTCTCTCTTGTACATATGTGGGTTTGGTCTTTTGAGTGATTGCTCGCTCTCCCCTCAATTCACAATATAACTTTATGACACCTCATTTTGATACATTTACTTCGAAACTATAAAACCTTATTTTGTGAGTATTCAAACTTGTATCTCATATGAGACAGAAAAAATGTTGTCCTGGACCATGAGAATGCTTTTAAAACATTTTTAAAATCTAAATATTTTCTAGTAGAACAAATTTGCATGTACAAAACAAGAGTTATCTAGAAGAGTCTGTATACTTGGCTGCTGAATAACCACATGTCTGCTGGTATGGTAAAGGCCACTGCTTTATTTTAGCACAACTACAGAGTGGTCAGAAATAAGGAAGAACATTTTGATGAACGAGGATGCTTGGGTAACCAGCCCAGAAATCATACAGAATCATCTCTCTTCTCTGGAGAAAACTGTGATTCGTTTTTTAATAGCCACATATAATCTGGGCTTCTTTTATAATAAGCCTAGGATCTTCCTCATGCTTATTGTGAGTAAAACTCATTGTTGGAGGTGAGGGAGAATGAGGCCTGGGTTGAGGCTTAGTTGGGGCTTGGGCTGTGGCTCAGCTGATACCATGCTCACCTAGAAGGCATGAAAAGTGTGAGGTGCAATCCTCGATACCACATTAACTGACCGAGACTAGGGATGTAGCTCAATGTTTGCCCAGAATACATGAAGTCCTGGTTTAGAGCTTCAGTACACAGGACATGGCAGTGCATACCTGTAATCCCAGCACTCAAAGGGGAAGGCAAGAGGACAAGAAGTTCAAGGTCACACTGAGAAGATAGTGAAGTGTTTTCCTTGCAACCATGAGCCCCTAAGTCTCATACCCAGAACCCACTTTTTTTTTTAAAAAGCAGCATAGCTCATGCTTGTAGCCTCATCACTAGGGAGACAGAGACACTGGTCCCAGGTCAATTTGAGACCACATCTTTAAGAAAAAAACAAAAAGGCAGACAATGCCTGGGTTGGAATAACAACACCCAAGGTTGTCCCCCGACCTCCACAAACGTGCACACAATCTACAACCACACCTCCAAAATCCAGGGTCATCCTTGGCTACATAGCAAGTTTGAGAAGGGCTCCATGAGACCCTGCCTCAAAACACACACACACACACACACACACACACACACACACAGAGACACATACACACACACACAGAAAGAGAGAGAGAGAGAGAGACAGAGAGAGAGAGAGAGAGAGAGAGAGAGAGAGAGAGAGAGAGAGAGAGAGAGAATCAGAGAATCAGAGAATCATAAAAACCAAACCCACCATGAAGCAGGAATGGTGGTGCATGTCTGAAACCCCAGCACTTTCAAGGCTGAGGCAGAAGCTTGTGAGTCAAAGTCCATATGGGCTACATAGTGAGTTCTAGACCAAAGTGAGGTAAATAACAAGACATTGTCTCTTTTAAAAAATTAAACACAGGCTGGGAGGTGGTGGCACATGTCTTAAATCCCAGCACTCAGGAGGCAGAGGCAGGCAGATCTCTCACTTTGGCAGCACATACACTCAAACTGGAACCAAAGAGAGGATTAGCAAACTCTCTGCACAAGGGTGACATGAAAATCTAAGGAGTGTTCCATAGTTTTAACTTTAAAGACAAGGTACATGGCCATTTTCAAAAAGGAGAACAAGTAGGAGGAGAAAATTTTATTATATTATCATTATTTATTATTATTATTATTATTATTATTATTATTATTATTACTATTATTTCAGGCTGGATAGATGGCTCGGCAGATAAGTGTTTGCCACTAAGCTGGGCCTTCCGACTTTAGCCCCCAGCACCCACACGGTGGAAGGAAGAAACCAACTTCTGCAAGTTGTCCTCTGACCCCCACATGTGTATCCTAGTACATGTACACACAGACTTAAGACACAGACACTTGCACAAACAAAATAAAGGCTTTTTTGAAAGAGTGGAAATTTGCATATGTGACCCTTACCACCATCCATCGCTACAGTTTTTCATGCTTTCAAATTAAAACTCTCCAGCTGTTGACCACTCACTTGACATCTTTCCTCCCCTCACACCTTGACAACTGCCATTCTACTTTCTGTCTTTAGGAATTTGATTCCAAGTGTTTCACATAAATGATATCAAAGATTTCTTCTACGGTTGGCATTTCACTCTGTATAATGTATTTAAAATTTATCTATATTGTAGCATGTGTCAGAATGTCATGCCTAAGGCTGAGTAAAATTCAAACACAAATATGTATACATACATTTAAATAAACATTTTGTTTATCCATTCATCTGTCAACTTCCATACTCCATGTGAATTTATCTTGCCCTATCCCACCTTTTTTTTTTTTCTCGAGACAGGGTTTCTCTGTGTAGCTTTGGCGCCTTTCCTGGAACTCACTCTGTAGCCCAGGCTGGCCTCAAACTCACAGAGATCCGCTTGCCTCTGCCTCCCAAGTGCTGGGATTAAAGGCATGCGCCACCACCACTCGGCTGCCCTATTCCAGTTTTATCATAAAAAACAAATGAACATTTGCACCAGGACACAGGAAACATAAAGTCTAGTCACTTTCATTATGCTTTTCACATGCTCATGGAAAATCTATAACCTCAACAATTTTATTTGTATAAATGGTAAATCAGGGGCAGGGGTGATGGCTCAGTTGGTAAACTGTTTGCCTTGCAAGCATAAGAATCTGAGTTTGATCCTTAAGAAACACATAAAAAGTCAGGCATAACAGTATATGCCTGGGATCCAGCACCAGGGATGCACAAGGTCCCTGAGGTTTACCCACCAGCTAGGCTATTTGAAATGACAATCTCCAGGTTCAGTGAGGGATTCTTCGTCAGATAGATCAATAGATCAATTGATCAGTAGATAGATAGGTAGAAAGGTAGATAGATAGTAGATAGGTAGATAGATGGATGATAGATAGGTAGATAGATAGATAGATGATAGGTAGATAGATGATAGATAGGTCGGTAGATAGATAGATAGATAGATAGATAGATAGATAGATAGATAGATAGATAGATAGATAGAAGATAGGTAGGTAGATAGATAAATAGATGATAGGTAGGTAGATAGATAGATAGATAGATAGATAGATGATAGATAGATAGATAGATAGATAGATAGATAGATAGAAGATAGGTAGGTAGATAGATAGATGATAGATAGGTAGATAGATAGATAGATAGATAGATAGATAGATAGATAGATAAATGAGATGACAGATGGAAGGTGGCAAGCAATGGAGAAAACACTCAATACTGACCTCTGGCCTTCATGAGTATACAAACACATGCATGTGCACCCTCACACACATGTACACACACATCCACACAAAATGGTAATTAATAAAACCACTCATGCACAAAGGTATAGGATCGCATGCTTACTTTCATTAGTGAATCATGACTCCTTGACCATTTCCTCAAATTTTAATATACATGTGTCTGCCCTTACACAATCCACAAGAGAAGTGGAAAAGTGTTTTCCCACATACCTTGAAAATAAGTCTCACCATTTCAGAGTTCCATAACACTCATAGAATGGGAAATAATCAACTCCAAATAGCACATAACTGTGACAAAGTTTCTAAGTGAGATGGTGTTATTATAAGAACTGTATTGGACAAATGATCACACAATTTGACACAAAATAAAATCCTTTACTTTTGTCATACATGTGTATCACATGCAGACAGGCAGGCACACATGCATGCATACTCCATCTGCTGTTTCATAGTATGAAGTTTGCCCAGTCCATTGTGAAGCATCCGGGAAGAACTCAAGACATGAACATGGAAAAAGACATATTTCTGACTCATGGAATTCTAGATCTAGGTCACAGCCTACTCATACAGAAAAAGAGTCCCTTCCCACATTGCTGTGTGGGTACCACCTGTCACTTAAAACAGTGACAGCATGTACTTGGTGCCAGGCACCGTGCTGAGTGTCTTATGTGTGTCCTTTCTTTTAATCCTCATGACTCTGGTGAAAGAGTTTCTCTTATTCCCTCCTTTTTCCTGCATCAACCTGCAAGGCACCACAACTTTCCACTGCCAAAGGGGTGAGACAAGATCTTAACCTGCCAGTCTTAGACAATACCTTCATCGCCTCAACGTTCTGCTGCCTCCCAGTGCTATGGACAGGCCTCCACACACTAGCACCACGCTGGTGTTGGTTAAAATGCAGGTTTGCAGAAATCTTCCAGGTGTACTACTTCAGAAGTCTATAAACATGGAGCTTTCAGTATGGTTCACAAAGAGAAGACAGAGGCAGGGTCTTCGACAGAAGCAATGATGCATCTAACAAAACGTATCTGAGAGTCATGAGATATTTTATACAGTCTGCTGTGGTAATCCAGAAGCAATAGTAACATTTCCTGATGGCATCTGTGAGATTACAGCAAGGTCACCTTCAAGAACACAATGAGAACAAGTGCTACCATCACCTTTATGTTTTTAAAGATAATTTGTTGTCTTTCGTGTATAATTCATGAATTTTGATAAATATATTCAATTGTGTGTCCACCACCAAAATTAAGATACAAAATATACCCTACCTAAAAAAAATTCCTGTGCCCCTCTGCAATCAACACCCAACTGTAGGCTATAGCAGCCACGTCTGTGTCTTCTGCACTGACATGCTTGCATTCTCCAGGATATCCTGCAAATGGAATCACACAATACATTGTATTTTGCATCTGGCTTCTTGGATTTAAGTACTTGACATTCAGTAAATATCCTTTGTATTGCTGCAAAATAATCCATGATGTAGATGTACCACAATTATGTATCAATTTACCAGTCAGAGGGCAGTTGGGTTGTTTCCATTATTTTTGATATATGAATGAAGCCACCATAAGGATTTATATATGTGTTGTGTATGAACATGAATTTTCATTTTTCTTGGGCAAGTTAACAGTGAGATTTCTAGATCAAATGTGAAATGTGTATTTCCTTACAAGAAAACTTCCCATTTTTCAAAGCATCTATATCAGCTTAATTCATACTAAGAATGTGTGTGTTAGGGAAACCCAAATCCTTCTCAGCATTTGGTTTATTCACTCTATTTCAGTGATTCTGATCTTATACAATGTTATCTTTTGCTATTATTATTTTGTTTCACATTTCCTAATGGCTAATAATATTAAGCACCTTTCCAGGTACTATGTGTCTTCTTTGATGAAGTATCTATTCAAATTTTTATGTTTTTAAATGAAATCGTCATTTTCAACTGCCATTTGGAGCCTTTTATTGTTCCAAAAAAGTCCTTTATCACTAGGCATTTTGTAGACATTGCCTTGCAGTTTGTGGATTACATTTTCATTTTCTTAACACTGTCCAAAACAGCCTTGATTTTGTAATTGTTTTACAGATTATAAAAGCCTACAGTGCAGTTAGAGAAATAGTCAGACTTGGAAACCACTTGCTTTCGAGCATGAGAGCGTGAGTTCAATCTCACACAAACTTTTAAAAATTTAGAGCAGAATCTGTAAGAAAGAGCAGATCACAGTAAAAGTTTCTGTGTGTACAATTTACAATAAATGATACAGTCATTCAGGTGTGATGGTTCATGTCTATATCCCAATACCCAATAGGCTGTGACAGGAAGACTGCCATTAGATTTGAGGACAGACTGTACTACATAGCAAGTTCCAGGCAGTCTGGAATACAAACTAAAACCCTGTCTCAAAAAAAAAAAAAGTTACATCTAACTGAATTAATTTATTTGTGTGCTGGAGAAATTAGGAGACCTCATATATGCTAAGTCTACCACTGACTTAGACCCCACTCCCCCACAACCCCTGATAAATTTTATTATTTGCTATAAATCATGTTGCAAAATTTATAATAAAGTTTCACTGATGGTTACTTTTCCTGATGCTGTGACCAAATATCTAACAGAAAGCAACTTACAGGTTGAAAAGTTTATACTGACTCATAATTTGAGAGGGCAGAATCACGGCAGAGGAGGGACTGTGAGGCAGCTGGTCACACGGTGTCACCTCAGGAAGCAGAGATGAATGATGGTGCTGTAACCTTCTTATCTCTCCCTTTGTACTCGGGCTGGGAATCCAGACCAGGACGGTGCTGTGCCCACACTCAACGTGGTTCTTCCTCCCCCAGCTATACCCCTCTGGAAACACCCTCACAGACCACTAAGAAGCACGTCTCCTAGGTGACTCCTAATCCAATTAAACTGACAGTGAAGATAACCATCACTCTTTTATATTAAATACGGATTTTTTTTTCTCTCTTTCACTGTGTAGTCCTGGCTGGCTTAGAACTTGCTTTATAGAGCAGGCTGGCCTCAAACTCACAAAGATCCGCCTGCTTCTGCCTCCAAGTGCTAGGATCAAAGGTGTGCATCACCACACCCGGCTCCTTTGTACATTTTTAAATCAGTGTGTTTGTTTTTGTACATTAGGGTTGAATTTGTTACATGTTTTAGATGTCAGTCCCTTCTTGGGTGTACGGTTTGCAAGTACTTTCTCCCAGTGTGTGTGATGTCTCTTCACTCTGATTATATAAACTTTTCAGTCTTATATAATCCCGTTTCTTTATCCTCTGTGTTTTTCTTCAGTGGCTTTACAGTATTGAATCTTATATTT